CCCACCATATATTGTTGCACTCGGTTATTTATACGAGATTAGAAAATAGTTTAATTTTTAAAAACCAATTTCTAATAGAAATTATTTTTAAAAAAATGTTGTTTTTGTTTAATATCGTGAAAATTTTAAACATGAAATATTGAAAAATTTGAACTAGAAAAAAAAAAAATTTTTTTTTAAAGCTTTCTACTTTTTATAAAAATTCTTAATGCGTACAAATATATAATTACATTTTTAAATGAGAATTAAAATAATGTTAATTTAGATCATAGTTTCCCAAAGTGTGAGCTACAGCCACCGAGAGGGCGCTAAAGACTTTCAATGGGGCGCAAGCAAAATTATTGGTGTTTGAGGGGATACTAATTTCTAATGGGTAGTTAACTGTAGAGAAAGTTTGTATTAAAGTACATATTAAAATACATAACTTTTTTTTAGTTTGGAACTTATGATTTCAAACTCAGCGTATCATATTTGTTCGTTGATCTTTAAAAGAAGTGTTTTTTAACAGGCACAAGAAAATAACCCCCCACCCTCAACTCCATAATTTAAGCATTAAACGGAGCCTTGTCTTACATGAGTTATTTTCATCAAAAGTGGTATAAAATATTGCTAATTTTAAAAAAAATTTATGTAAGCAAATAAATACATTCGATCATTAATAATACTTTCAATAACTTAAAAGTATGGTTATGGAAACGTATTATATCAAAAATATTATGTGGGACATGTATTTTTATTTATCATATATTTATCAATTTTGTTCCAAGTTCCGTTAAGGGGCGTTGAAAATATTTTGGCTGACGAAATGAGCAGTGATCCAAAAATGGTTGGGTTTACTTCTTAAAAATTAGTGTAAATTTTCTACTTTTACTTTGGAAATCTCAGAGAATTTATTTTTTGCCACCCTGAGTACTCCAAAAATTAAGTTCCTGTACGTAGTGAAATTGAAATCCCTATAATATAGAGAGATCAATTCATACAACCTTTCCCTTTATTAGTTAGGGAACGAATAAATTTTTAAAAACGCATTCTAAAGTCTACTTAACTCGTCTTCCTGGAATATTCGCTATGCTCTGTTGTTGTATTAGTGAATATGGTAATTAATTGCAATTCATTATTATTTTTTTAAGTAAAATAAGCAAGTTTAAAGAAATTAGCGTTTTGTTTCAATTTTAGTGATGGGGGGGGGGACTTTAAGCGCAAAGATGGGACAAAGGCGCGTCTTTGCCGCGATGAAAGCAATTCCATGGCAAAGGGACAATTATACATTACAATTTTGTACAGGTTACTTTATGAATACGAATACAATTATTTTTATGTATTCTTATTCATTATTGAGATATTTAAGACTTAGATGCATATTTACAAAATGTTTTTTCGAGAAATATATTAGTTAGTTTCCAGCGCCATATGCGGGCCAACAGTGGAATCGGCCAAAGCACAAATTCGGATTATTATTTTTTTTTATGACATTGATCTCCCTATGAGTAGAATATGTGTACTTAAATTAATAATGTTTTTAGATTTTTTTTTCTCTTTGTGCAGTCAGTAACATTTAAAATGTACAGTCAGTAACATTTAAAACGGAGCAGTATTAGTAATTCTTGATCTTATGGTTCGATTTTAAATTATAAAAGACTTATCTTTATATTTTAAAAATTGCTGTTGAATCTTTGTCATATACTTTATTGTTGCAGTGCCACACTACAGAGTATTGTTACATACCACGATACCGATCTTTTTTTTAAAGAAACTCGTATTACATTTGGTAATTTTTTTATGTTTCATATTTTTGACCTTCAAATTACGGAGGGTTATCTTCATATTTTAAGAAGTACCCTTGAATCTTGTCATTTACCAGTATTGTTGATGTGTCGCACTACACATTCATTGTTGTTACTTTCTAGAATACCATACTTTTTCTAACGAAATGTATGTTGTATTTTTGACCTTCAAATTATGGTGGGATAGTCGCTACTAATTCTTTTGTGGTAGATTGCAAAATTTGATGTAATCGGTTGAAATAAACTTTTTTTAATTTTTATTTTAAATAGTTCGATAAATGTATCCTCAAATTAGGGCACTTTTATGTGTTCGAAACATTGTAAGCGCAATTTTATGTCATTTTAAATAACAAAATCATCTAACATTTGCACAGAATCGATTGAATCTCAAGAATTAAAAGCTTAAAAATGTGAAATTTTAATAATTTGTGACAATGACAAAATCTAAAATATGTACAGATTCAGTCGAATATTTCTCTGGAAATCAAAATCGTGAAAAGGTAACGTTTTCAATATTTTGTAATTTAAAATTACGTTGTTTAAAATGATGCAAAAAGCTGTTCACTTAACAATTGAAAAATGTTCGGATCAATTTTAAATTAAACTATTAAAAACATTAAATAAATATAGATTTTTTTCACGGAATTATCTTTGAATAAACGAGTTTTATAGTTCTGTTTAACAATTTTTTTAATCACCTAAAAAAATTTGAGGGTGAACAAAAGACTAAAAAAAAATAACTAAATAAATAATAATAATAAAATTAACATTAAGGAAGCGATTGCGGCTACCTCATATTTTTAGGGTTAGTGAATAAGATTACGTCAAAAAAATTACGTTTATTCAAATAAAGCGCGCTTTTGTACCTATTTCGTATATTCAAATATTGTATGCATTAATTAATTTGCATATTTAACGTCTATCCCTCATTACGTAGAAATCTTATCATTTAGTCAAAAGATATTATGGGAATCCGTTTCTTTTATTTTGCTTATTTTAAAGATAATTCAGGAATCCTTAAAACGGAAATTCATGTTTGAAAAAAATTACTCAAGTTTCAGAGCTAATTACTAAAAACTACTTCCTGTGTATTTTGACTTCTTTAGACTCATTGTTGTTAGTTTCATTTTCATAAAAATATTTCTTCTAAAGTAATGTGGGATTTCTTTTTGTGTAGAAATTGAATAAAACGGAAGTTAGATTCTAACTGTACTAATATTTTCTAACTGTACAAATGTTGCAGTCGATGAATTTCTCTAAAGATGTTGTAAAATTGACATTTATTCTTTATTAAACATCACGTCGAAAATAGAAATTTTCATTTAGTCTTTATTAAATGGTTGAAAGGGTAGGATAATAGTTTTTAAATAAATGCATGCTTTTTTTTTGAAAACTATATTAGTATGTTTATTTTTTTATTTTATCCTTAACCTTTTGTTCATAATTTCAAAACATCATTTAATGAATTCTTTTAGCATTAAGTGATTTTTAAACCAATTTTCGTGTAAAATGAAGCAGATTTTTTTTAATAATTTATCATCGTTAATTTGTTCCGCAGTGGACTGATCGTAAAGACCGAGGTCACCGAAGTCAAACGTCACTGGCTGCGGACAGTAAGCGGGTGAGTGACCACATTGATCAGCCTGCGTAAGGACCGAGGGTGCGCGGTATTGGTCCTCATTAAACTGTTCTACCGTAAAGTGCTCGACTTCGCGCTCAAGTCGTCAGGCTACCAAAGCAGGGGAGCCATACCCTTTGCAGACCATCAAAATTACGATTCCATGTCTTCGGATCATCCTCAGTGATGTTTCCCAGATCGTCGCCAATAGCCCATTGTGCAGCTCTGACAAAATAGACCTACCTACCAACCTATCATCGTTAATTTGAAGATTTTAATTTTTTTGTGATACGATTAAGTCGCTTTTGAAATTAGATTTAAATTGTGCTCTTACTATTTCAGTTTGAAAACAGTTTGTAATTCTAAAATAAAATTTCGTGTGATCTTCTACTGTACAACTTAGATATGAACTTTGAAATAATGAGACAATGCGATATTTTTTTTAAAAAAATTTGTTTTAAAGAACATATTAGAAACAGACATTTATGATAGAAAATAGTATCCGTTTCTATAGTTATAATTGTTTCATAATTACCGAGGTCTTAAAACATTTGTATGATATTAAAGAAAATTTAAACTGTCAAGAGAAGAACTAGATTGTGCCTCCCTTCCATGGCAAAATTACTATTATCATATCGTTGAAAGGTTATCAAATTTATCAAAAATACATAGCTAAAACTGAACTTTAATTGGTATTAACTGACACAATTCTAGTTATCTGCTCTAACTAACTTTTTCAATATGGGTGTCAAATTAAGTTTGTGTCATAATTTACGATTATCATTATTTTTAATTAATTTATTTTAATTCAGTATATCATCTAGATTAATTGTAATTAAGAGCAAGCTTCCCTATAAACGGGAGTGACGTATGGGTGTGGCAGAAGTCGAATTCTTGGCCATAGATGGCGCCACTGGAAAACAAGAACAATCGCACCCCTCTGCCTTAACAGGCATACACAATAACAATAAGAACTAACTTATTTAATTTTGAGTGATGCTAGTCACTGAAGTGAATTTTACCCATCAAGGTCACAATATTTGTTAAACTTGAAGTGTGTTTTGTAAAAAATTACNCGGATTCCCCCCCCCCGCCTGGCTGGCAGTAATTTTCTGCTGTGGTGATGATGAAATTCAAATTTTATCAGCTTAAAGTTTTATACACTTGTGAAGGAGTTATTAGTGGGGTATAAAGTTGGTTTTAGTTCTTAAAAAAAAGTCTGAAGTATTTTTATATTCTCTAATATAACATAATTTTTTTGTGTTAACTACATTCATTATTGAGTTNCCCCCCCCCCCATGTTAGCAGTAGTTTTCTGCTGTGGGGATGATGAAATTCAAATTTTATCAGCTTAAAGTTTTATACACTTGTCAAGGAGTTATTAGTGGGGTATAAAGTTGGTTTTAGTTGTTAAAAAAAAGTCTGAAGTAGTTTTATATTCTCTAATATAACATAATTTTTTTGTGTTAACTACATTCATTATTGAGTTTTGTACAAGAATAAAATAGGAATGTTTCAAAAAAATATAACTCCATGTTTTTGTAAGTTTTTTCTGCGAATTTTTTATTTTAATTTTATGAAAATTCTTTCTTTTTTAGCGAGGTGAGATGTATCCAAACATTGAAAACTGTTGGCCAGATGCGACCAGTATGATGCCATTATTTGCTGTAGGTACATCATACCCAAGTTCGCTCACCCCCAATCAAAGCACTACTTTAAGTTCGCCTGCAAGGGCTTCAAGTGAGGCACAAACTTCTATTTTAACATCTGATGCAGATTTTCAGGCAGTCTCTCCTTCAATGGGTATGTGTAATAAATACTAGATAAATTTTACTTTTTATTCTTGTTTATAATCTATTAAAATTCTAGTATGAAAAATTTGAAGTTATAAAATAAGTTATTTTTTACTGTTAATTTTGACTGTTTACAAACATGTTTATTTTTACTTATTTATTTAAAATAATTTTTGGCTCATCAGTAGATATGTTATTTTGAATTTTGATTATCCAATAATAATGATCTTCAAAAGCTTCTAAATTCAAGGATTTTTATATAAAAATTTTTGAATACATATTTTATGATTTTTTATTTTTTTTTAAATCAATGACTAGTGTATTTTAATGTATCATAATAGTCTCGATATTTTAATTTTAAACTCACATTAATTTGTTTGGTTTTTTTCTTTTAATGGTTCTATGTTTGTAAACAGGGAAGTTTTATGTAACTTCAAAGCATAGGCCGCCACATTTTGTATCTTTGTTCCATTCTTAAATTTGCACTTCTGATATAGATAAAAATTGCTAAAAAGGAATAAATGGTTGCATTTCTCTTTTCATATTGAGTTTCAAATACTTTGTTTGTTTGTTTGTTTCTTCTTGCAAATTTAACACAAATTTTATGTACTGAGTTTTTTGTCACCCCAAAACTAAAAAGTAATTTTTTTTTTGTTTACAATTTAGGTTCTTCAAGTATAGGATATGCTGTTGCAGAATCAATTGCAACTTTGACAAATGACAGTGATCCCACTCCTGTTAGTAGTATTGTTAATAATGCATATGGTGAAGATCTTCCTGAGCTTCTTTATGCAAACCATACTATAACAGTGCCACACAATGATCTTATATCAGAGTTATTCTTAGATGATATAAATTTGATGCCTTTACCAGCCAATGGTAACACATAGTAATTTTATTACATTAATTTACTATTAGTTTTATTATTAAGTGTTAATTTCTGTATAAACAATGTCATTTAAATCATATTTTTATGGATGAATCTTAGAATAAGTACTAGTAGTTGGTCAGTCTATGTAGAGATTTTTCTCTTTATTTTTTTTATTTATTTATTTACTTTTTTTGTCTTAGCACTGGTAATGCTGCTTGCTTATAGCACTGAAATGTTTAATGTATTTTAATTATTTTTATTTACTTGTTGCATTGTTATATTCTATGCTTTTTCTAGCAAAAAAAAATATTTAAAGAGGCGTAAACAATTTAATGATTATTTAATTTTAAATTGACTATTAAGTTTTGTGTAAAATATTTTAATAAAATATAGGCTATTCTATCAATGTTATTTTGCTAAATAACACACAACATGGCGAACAACAGATTAGTTAAAAAAAATTTGTAGACAGAGCTCAAGAGTTCCTACATTTATTTAAAAAATTTTGCAGACAATGACAAATTTCTCCCATTTGTTTAAAAATTTTACAGATAATTCTGAAAAGGCAAGGGAAGATCAGATGGATACAAGCAATGATTCTGTTTCAAGTAGCAATTTTCCCTCAGTACCTGATTGTGTAAGTATGCTTTTTCAATACTTTTGCTAATGTCTCTAACTTGTATTTTTTTTATTATATAAAGTTTTAAAAAAAGTGAATGATGTTGACATTATTTTGGATTATTTATTATCTGGGCCTCAAAAAGAAGTTACTTTTTTATTCATTACACCAGAAGTTCAAATTCTTGGAAAGAAATTGTAATTGTTTTGTGAAGAAATGAAATTTTTAGCAGAATTCTGCTCTATCCTATTAATTTTTAAAATCATAAAATTACTCATGTGGTGATTTTACAAATTTGTGGCATTTTTAAAACTGATATGGTTTAAAAAATTAGATTAACATTGTTTGTGATAAACATTGATTGTTTTATACATGTTTTAATAGTTAGCATCAAGATTGAATTAAAATTTAGACCTGATGGGAACTTAACAGATATTATGTTAAAAAAATGTAGAGTATGTTACCAGAACAGCACTTCTGCCTACCAATATGCTGGAGCCTTTCTGTTGACAACAGAAAGGCTCCTGTGCATTGGTAGGCAGTGTGTCGCATGAGGAAGTGCTGTCTTGCCAACACACATATCTTTTATTTTATTACTTTTTCCTGCATTAATTGTTTGTTTTAATATCTTAATTAAAATTAAACAAATTTGGTTTTAGCTGCTTTAAGCACTTTTCCATTTTGATTTAATGTTTTAATAATTATTTTACCTTTTTGTCTTTTTCTGTATTTGTAAATTAGTTTCATTTTCTGATAAGAAATTGAACTTTGTCGCTTGAAAGCCGGTTTTCTTGGATTGCTAATTGTTAAAATTTTATGCAAAATAACGCAAGAAACAAATTCTTAAAATATTATACATAACTCTTAATCATATGCATTTTTGGAAAACACAAACATCTAATCCAACAGACTATTAAATTACAAAATAAAAAATACTCTTTTGCATCAAATATGCTTCAAATTTGAAATCCACCCTTATAAAAAATTTAAAATGTAAGTTAACAATTTTTTTAAAAAAAAACTGTAATTATTAATAAGTTGATGAGAACTAATCAAGTATATAATATGGATTATTAGAAATAAAGATATTGCAATTAAAACCAGAAAAAAGTTTGTATTCTAGTAGAAACTTTTTAAAACAAAGTTAGAATTTTCTTCTGATTTAAAAATTTATGCTATTCATAATGGATCTCAACAATAAAAAAAGATGTGAAATAAAGGGAATTTTTTTTTTAATGCTTCTAATCATTCTTATAATTTTCACAAAAATATTATTTACTGAAATTTATATCCTCCAGCAATATTGGTTAGAAAATTGTTCTATCTAAATAGAAGATATACTGGAGTTTAATTTTTTTTCTTCCATAGAGTGGCTATTATCATTTCCAGATAACTAATTTAATGTTCTAAATCTTTTAATTTGTATAATCTTGTGAAGTGTAAATCTGTTTTTGCTTAGTTTGTATTAAATGAATTTAATGAATATGAACAAAATTTATAAAAATTCCGTAGTTTCATGGTTTGTTATTTCTCCTTCTATCAGTGTGAAATATTTATTTTTCAAAATTGTTGCTCTGTTGTATAAATATCACTTAAAATTTGTCTTGTACAATAAGAAAGGGCACCCGTCAATAAAAAAAAATTAAAATTATGTGGTTAGAGAGCTCTTGAGTTACCACTTATTATTTTTATAATTATTTTGTATTTTTGAGAAAATTTTGAACATTTAAATTTTTTCTCTTTCAATGCATCTTGCAATTGTACTTTTTTTTCAGCGTGATTGGATTGATTCATGCTCTGAATCATCAATGCATAATGAGGAAGATCAAACTAGATGTGATTTGCTTATGCCTCATTCACAAATTGGTTATCTTAGTCCATCTCAGAATAGTGATCCATCTCAAGCATCTGCATCACCCAAGAAATTCCGGCAATCAAGTAGAAATGTAAGTTTTATACATAATATTTATTTTGTCTAATTTTGTGTAGTATTTATATTTTACTCTTAATTTGCTTTGCATGTTAAACAAAACTTAACGTATACTGTTCACTTATTATTATGTATAAGGACTCCAGCTATCCAAGCAGAAATTGTGTCACTATTTTGTGAGTGTAGAGAAATAACTTACATGTTTCATAACTATCCAAGACTACACTAATTTCAAAAAACCTTGTATTACTTAAACAAAAATAATAGGAAGCTAAAAGAGTAATTTATTATAATGCCCCACTTTAAACATCATGTACTGGGAGTTACTATTTTGGTTCAATAGCATATGCCCTGAGAACTGTAAAAACAAGTAAAGAAAAAGGATTGTGAATACTGCATGTTTTAACTTAAATATAAATCACCCAAGTAGACAGTAGTAGTAAATCACCAAATAGACATTCACAAAAGTAGACATTGTAATTATGTTTATTAAAATTGTTAGAACTTTTTTTTTCTAAAGTTTGGGAATGGGAGCTTTTAATCAGCATAATGTATACAGGACAGTGTGCCAGTTTTTGTATGATGGTGTAATATTCTATTTCTTCAATTTTATAAATAAATTTATGCTACACTAACTTTTGATCCATAGACCATGACTACCTAAAATAGGAATTATGGGGATCTTGTCACTCTTTCTCTATTCAAAATTCATTCAAGTTGTGTCTTGTTGTATGTGAGATATCAAAAGAAAATTTATTTGTAAGTTTTATTTTTGGTGACTGTTAATAGGAAAATTTTGTTTTGTCCAGGGCTCGAAAAAACTCAGAAATTTTACCCGTCCAGCAATGCACCCGTCCTACTTTGAAACTAACCCGTAGCTTCTAAATAAAAAATATTTAATTTTTAAATAAAAAATATTAAATTTTATGAAATAATTTATTTCTTTTATGAAATAATTTGAATGACAAAGGTCAAGTTATCTGGAATATCAATTTATCCGAGGGTACTGCGTTTTTTAAATGAATCAAATCTGATGTTTGCCAGTTCCACAATCAAGCCAATGATTTACAGAGGTTTCCACACCAAAATCTGAAAGGGGTTTTTCGTTTAGGTAGATGTTCATAATTGCGTTTAACGCTTTGTGTTCAAGACCAGTACGTAATATGTTTTTTTGTAAGTTCATTGCTGAAAAGCCCCTTTCAACTGTACTCCCAGACAGAGAAAACATCAATTCTAATAACAAAAATTGAAAATATATCTCGAACATTAACGGGAAAATGGCTGTCCGCACGGACGTAGGATTCGAGAAGTTCATGGTCCGCGGGGAATTTTTGACTGCCGAGGACGGGCGGTTTTTCGAGCCCTGGTTTTGTCCATGGATGTGCAAAACTACTTAAAATTGGTTGAAGTGATATTTCACAGAAATATAAAAATGAAACTGTCACTATATTGAAATGAGTGGCTTAGTTCTGACATTTTTATGAATGTTTAAATGACATTGCATCTGTGAAACAGCTAAGGGGACTTAAAACATGGGTTGTCTTAAAATGAGGGAAACTTACTAAAGAGCATAGACTGCATAAATAAGGAAAGATTATTTCATACAAGTTTAATTTATTTTAAATTATGGTATATAAAAATACATATTTTTTACTTTATGCAAATGTTTGAAATTAGTTGCTTGACGTTTTACCTTTAAAAATGTTTCCTTGTTTTAGCAAAATGGAAGCTGCATGAATTCATTGCAAGCAGGAAATTGCAATGACCAACAATATTTCACTCTAAAGTCGTACTATTCTGATCCATCTGAAAACTCTGCTTGTGCCATCTCTTGTAGTGTAATGAACTTCAACAAAAAGTTTGATTACTCTGTTCCTAAGGCAAATGGATACAACTGTTCAAATTTCTTGCAGCATAATCATACTTACCACATACCCTTCAACAATGATGATCTATGTCACAAACCAATTACAAGAGACAAGCAAAGATCATATTCTGATGATGATTCTAGCAACAAGGATGAAAAAAGGGCAAAGGAACTCAAACTCCCTATCAGTATTTCTGATATAATTAATTTAGCCATTGAAGAATACAATGAGAGACTTTCAAAATATGAATTGACAGAGGCTCAAATTACTCTGATAAGAGATATTCGTCGGCGAGGAAAAAATAAGGTTTGTTTATTAGTATTTTTTCATTTATAGATTTTTTGCTATGTTGTTTTTATTAAATATGTATAATGTATACATTACCTGGGTCAATTTGCAATTGATTATCTGGTCTTTAATGTAGTGGTAAACTTCACATAAAATATTAATGTATCACTTTTCCTATGGAAAAGCCTTTTGCCCTAAATATTAACAATTTGAATTCTGAATTATTAATTTTCAAAAATTCTTCTGTTGAGAATATGTTGAATATAATTCTGGTCATCTAATTTATCAAAGTGCTACTTCCTAAATCTTATAACAATTTTCAAATACTTAGGTATCACTCTTTCTTAAGCAATACCCAAGGTCTATTAAGAGGCCTCTACCCTTGCCATCTTGGAAAATTTATCTATGGAAAATATCATCTTCGAAAATTTATCTTATCTTGGTTAAATTTTTAATCCATGTTTTTTTCGATAGTTTTGTACTTAACACACTTCAGATGATATAGTATTATTAGACAGGACAATATCTTTAAAAAAGGTAGAAAATAAAGGGGTGCCTCATTAGATTTAGAGAAATAGAACTTTAATTTAACTATAAATTTTTCTTCAAAACTTTAAGGTAATAAAATAAGACTTGTGGTTTTTAGTAAGTTATCAAAATCTATATGTTTCTCAGTTCACTTTTTAGATTTTTTTTTAAAATTTCCTTTCATTACAGTTTAAACTGAGGACTGACTTGAATGACGCTGAAAAATTCCTTTATTTTTAATTGCATAAAAACAAAAATATTTATCAATCTAAAAGCAGGCGACTATTTATTTAAATATCTTTCAAAAACTGTTGATTGTTTTGAAAGAAAAAGTGAATAGAGAATTTAAAATACTGTGCCCAAATGAAATTTTAGATAAAAATGTCTAAAATTTTAATTGAATGATAGCTTTGTATTTTACATTACATATGTCAAATGATGCAAAACCGTTTGTATAAATAAAAGTACAAAATATGTGTTTAAAATAGTTTCTCATTTCATCAGAGGCCAAATTTTTATATATAGTTTTGGCAGAGTAGTAAGTTATTGACTTAAAGTGCTTTCTTTATGAATAGTGCAGTTTTTATTTATTTACGCTAAATGTGAAACTCAATTTTACTAGTATAAGTATCTGTGGACTAAATTTCATCAAAATTTCTAATAAGTTTGACACAGAAAGCTTGATATTTCACTTGTGAGTTATCCTCAAACACTTTATTTAAGAAGATAAGATTTAAATTGTTATGAAAATGACTTAAAAAAAGAACAAAATGGGTAGTAAATAATTTTCTCAGTCCCACTTATAAGCCTTTTGAATCCCTTAACTTAATCATCTATCTCAGGTGTTCAAATTTTGATAGAGTTGAAATTAAAATACACAATTACAATAATTCTTTTAGGCTTATGCCTGAAATAAAACTCCTTCCATTTGCTTAATCTTGCCCTTCAGAGTATGAGAGACAGCCACAATCCAGAAAATATTCCAATAATTTAGTCTAGAGAGTTGTTAGAAGTTTCAGCCCTTTAATTTTTATGTATTTCTCATTTAGAGATTATAGAAGTGGGGAAAATTCCCAAAAGTAAAATTTACTCTTGTTGGTAAATCTTTCGATAACTCTCCTGAATAAATTCTATCTCTTGTTCTTAATGTTCAAAATCCAAGGTTGTTAGAAAAAATTTAAATTTATTAAAAAAACATTGATTACATTTTTTGCAATTTTATAACTTAAATGTCATCTATGGTGATTAATAACTATATTTAATATCTGGAACCATTACAGTTAGATGTTGTTACGTCAAAATCCAAACATTAGATCATATTTCATTTAAGGTCTAGTTTTTAATTTGAGTTCTGTGTAACCTTAATAGTTTCAATGGCAATTTTAAGTCTGCTAATTAATTTGTATCAGCCATATTTTGAATTACGAAATCAAATACAAGATACCTAAACATCCCCCCCCCCCAATCTTGAAAATTTTGGTTTGGCTGTTTTTTTTTTCCGAAGTTCACTATGTATCAAACTAAGTACTGAAGTCATAGTGATATATTAGGGAGTAATGGAACTCAACTGGACAAGGACCATTTAAAACCCATGGCTGAATCCAATTTTCATAGCCTTAAAAAACACCTCTCAACAAACCAACCATTTGTAACTTCTGTTTCATTACAGACTCTGTTCTTGATGTATCCTTAATAAAAATGACAAGTTCTTCGTTTAACCTGTACTTCTCAAAATTCTCCTCACTGCTCTAATCATTGGATTATTAAATAGGGTGTCCTTTAGTGCTTTAGGAATCGGTTCCAACAATGGTGTTTTGCACTTATCTAGTAATGTGCTAGAGATCCCTTTAAATTATGCATCATAAATTCAGGAGTAACTTGTTTGAATTCAAAATGTTTTGCGCTTATTAATAAGATTAGTTTATCTATAAATAATTTATTAATATAAATATATTGAATTGCAAAGTATAAATATTTTGACATTTTTTAAAATTATGCAAATTTAATAAAACTGAAGTAAAAATATTGAACTTATTCTGCTTAAAGTTTAGATTTTTACAATGAATAATTTCAGATAATGTAAAATATTTTATACTAGAAATTCATTAAAAAGTTCCTTATATGCAGTTATTTCTCATTGAACTAATTATATAAGATATATAAGCTGAAAAGATTTTCTGGTAAGCACAATTTTTTTTTACCAAAATTACGTTGAAATAAACAAGTTAAAACTTAAAGAGACCAGAGCTAATATTCTGACTTAATAACAGAGAACTTATTTTCAAAATTGCTGCTACCCTTTGTATCTTGGAGTTACGCTTATTGGAAGAAAGTATGTTTTTGCACAGTACAGGAAACAAACATAAATATCACTAAAAGTGAAAAAAATCTCATTTACCCTATGTTAATAGAAATGCATAAATGATGTTCATTAAAATGCTCAAATAGCCTAATTCGATTTTGACTTTTATGTAAACTAAATTTAAGCAAAAGGAGGTTAATTTTAAACAAAAACGGAAATTTTATCTATACTGCTAATTTTTGTTTTCTTTATTATAAAATTTGTTTTGAAAAATATAGTGTCTCCATATTTGAAATACAAGAAATATTACTGAATATTTAAATATTTTTAGGTTGCAGCACAGAACTGTAGAAAACGTAAGATGGATCAAATTAATAACTTGCAACAAGACCTTGATTACCTACAAGATGAAAGGATGAAATTGAAATCCAAGCAAAACCATCTGTTGCAGCAAAAGCATGCTATTGAAGAAAAATATGTCCAATTACATGATCTTATTTTACAAAATACTAACTGTAGACCACCTAGTGCACCAAGTCTCTCAGCTTTCCATAATTCTCAGAATGCTACATCTGACACTATGTTAGGTAACACTGACTCCAATGTAAACGGTGGAGCTAAAACAAAAAAGAAATTTAAAAAGTGATAATACATCTATAATTTATTAACCGAATGTGATATACAATTTCTTATCGTTAACTACATTTTGATGCCACTCATTTTCATCCATTTATATCATTTGGGAATCATTAAATTTTTTCTTCTTCTAATACATTAATCTGTTAATGCATAGATTAAAAAAGTATTTAATGATACTATATCTTTATATTTGTGTTATATTTTATCTTGTACTAAATCACTTTTCTAATAGTACAGTTTTAAGTTGTTACTCGCATTTTGTTTTATATTACTTGTATAAATTATGGATCTAAATTGACTTGGCAACAAACAATTTTCATTTAATTTTAATCATTTTACCTCAATCAATTTATTTCTTCATAATTATACATAGTTTTTATTTATATTGTTTTCTCTGTTATTGGAATATATTATACAATGGTGTCCTCTGTAATTTTTTTTTCTTTTTAATTTTGCATGATTTTTTGATTTGCAAATGATGCCTTATATTTATTTGATTAAACTGTTTTGTTTTCTAATTTGCTATTTTGAAAAGAAAAACATTGTTACTTAAACCTTTTTTGATAAAGAAAGAAAATAAAAATATCAGAGAAAAAGTTTTGTCTTCTGAATTACTGAAAACAGCCACATTGTGTAAACATTTTTATAATGCTTTCTCGAAATTCAGTTCCCAGTGCACAATTTTCAACATTGAGTTCCAAATTAATACAGTCTGAATACTTAAAACTGTTGTCAAATAATGTATCAAAAAACTGTATTCATATCTTCAAGAAATATTGTAGATTAATCTTTTAAACTTTGTCCAACTCGCACACTGTTGCTGTGCAACATTTTATAACCACAAAAGTGTTTAAAAAAAACACCCTGCTTTATTTAAAATTTCTTGAAAGTGAAATGATGAATGCGTTATTGCTATTTTATTTGTTAGTATTAATTACAAAAGAATTCATTTTTATTTATAGAAGAATTATAAATTCTTATTTATTTATTTGAGAAAACTAATCTGTAAGTAAGGGATTTTTAGAATATCTTTTTATTTTAGAATAAAATAAAATAAACAAGACATTTCCGGGGTATCCGCGCACCTGGAAAGTCATGATTTTCATTATTGAACAAAATTTGTCATGATTTTAACTATTTTTTTAAAAAAATTCATGAAAAGTCATGAATGTAGGTCGCCAAAAAAATCTCATTTTTGAAATGAAATTTACTCTACCCCCAATTTCATGGTGCTCTGAATTTGTAACGAAATCCCCACTCACAGTCATATTTTATTAAAATATAAAATGTTTTTATCATTTTCTTCAAAAATTATGGTGTTCTTTCAAAAAAATGAAAGAAAAAGCATAATTTTTAGAGCGAATCATCTTTTAAACTTCTGTGATTTCAAAGTTGAATTTTTTTTTTTTTCATTTTATCAATTTAAAATTCTAGCTGAAGCAAGCTAGTCATTGGCAATTTTTTTAAAATTCCGAAATGAGAACAGAAAAATCAGGCGTATTTCTTTCCTTTCCGATGAACAAGAAAAGTATCTTTAGAATATAATTCTGCAAAAAAAAAAAATATTTGCTTATGCATTTTATTCAACTATTTTATTGCTTCAACTCTTTCTTTAACCTGTTTTTTAAATTTGAAATCTACAAATATGAGGATGCAGAGTATAACAGTTTTGGTTATACCTATCATTTCAATTAATGTTGTTATGATGCTTTTTTTAATTTATTGTTGTGTTTTTGGCAGAGAAAATAGTAACTTCATTAAGTCATGAAAAATTCTTGGAATTAGTCATGAATTTGAAAATCTAAAATGTAGCAGATACCCTACATTTCTCAGTAATAAATCATTATAAGTTGGGCAGAATTTAAAAGCCAATGTATATAGTTTTGATAAAACTATGAATTTGAATGGTACCCAAGTTATTTCTCTTACAACCTTTATTTTGTACTTAAGAGGGAGAAAAAAAGAGACTGCAACTATGGTATAAAGAAAATGTATTTGAATTTAGGTTCATAGCCTAAGTTAGTATGAATTTCATTTTCAACATGATCAGAAATTTTCAAAACGTCATTAAGCTGTATTTTTGATGTATAATTCATTATATCGGGTTGCCACTGAAATCTGGAAAAAAAATTCCCTGTACATATTATGCACAATATAATAAGAGGAAACAACAATCACTGTGCTAGTGTGTTAGCTATATTGGGCTAGCTATATTTATTAGTTTTAATTGCTGGAAAAACAGCTGCTAATCGAAAAGTAAGTCATAAGCTAATCGAAAAATTTCCGCACTCAGTAAAAAACTTCGTTTATCCATGTAAAAAAAAAAAATTTAGTAAATATTTATAATATTTTATTTACTAATAGTAGAAAAACTTTTGAATTATGGGATATACAAATATTTCTATCATTTTAAAGTATGTAATTTAATATGTAAAAGTATAGTATAGCTGAAATATCCAATAGAATTACGCTTTGAGTGGTCACAATTTTTTAAAAGACAAAAGTAGGAAACAAATTTCCCTGTACTTTCCCAGTTTGTAAAGAAAAAATCAAAATTCCCTGTTATCTTAGGTGAGTTTTAAATTCCCTGTATTTTCGAGGTTTTCCCTGTTCTCTCTGTGGAGTGGCAATCCTGTATATTTACTTTACTGAACATTTGTCAAGTTTTTTTTTTTTTTTCAAATTTCTCTCAATCATTCCATTATTGAATATTAATAAAAAAAAATGACTTTAAAAACAATATTACAAAGAAATAAAATTAAAAATGCAATCAAGAAAAGGGAAGAAATTTCTGGAAAAAAAATAACCTTTTTCACAGTACACAATAAAATTCGGGTCGATGTCAATTTTAAACATGAAAACTCAGCTTATCAAAGTACCTCAAAATGAACTATCTGCTATTGAGGTACTTATTGTCATATTGTGAGTACAAATTTTGATTGTATGTCAGTTCTACCTGATTTAATTTTAGTAAGCCTATTCTTACATGGACAAAAAAAAACGATCAATTATTAATTATGGTATAGAAATAAAGTAACATTTTTAAGGCACTATTATTGATGTGATGCATGTTGGTTGGTCCCAAGTGCCTAGTCTTTGTTCTAAGTAAAATACAGCATATCAAAATACCTATCATAAAGAAATAGTTATGCAAGATTTTTCACAGTGAGCTATTGAAATATGATTAGAGTTATGGAAACCATTAATAAGGATCACTAAGATTTAAAATTCTGCCCTAAATTATTGTTTTTTAAAATTGGAAATAATTCAATTTATACTATGCTTGATAATCACCACTCTTATTCATTGCTTTTGAATACTTGTTTAAGTCATAAATATGTACAGTCCGCAACAAAAAAAAGATATCACCCTGAATAACTTTCGTTCTAATGATCGGATTTTCACGAACTAAATGTCAATCTTAATGGTTCCGGGGGGTGACCTCAAATATGCTAATTAATTAGTGCTAACTATTAATTAAGTTACGAAATCNTACACACATTTGGAGTTGGAATAAATATTTAAGCAAAACAAACATTATTCAAGCATGCTGAATCATTAATGAAGATGGTGAATTTAAAACAAGAAAACAGAGAAATTAAAAGGTGATAATTCAAGCTACCAACAGCAATTATATTAGTTTTAGTATTTTAATACCACCTACCTTAATAGTGATTCGCAAGATTTTGAAAACATTTTTGTTTTTCTTCCCTTAAATATTATTTTGCATCCCCTGTAGTACCTTGATCCTTTATTACTTCATTTATGATAAGGATTCTGGAAATAAATGTAAATTATCAGATTTTCTTAATTATTTTAGGAGCTACTGGGCAAATTTTAATAAAATTTGGTATGAACATATGTTGATAAAATACAATTAAAATAATCCTTAAACAGTTGTAATATACACGCATAATCATGCGTAATTTTCATCAGAGTCTGGAAGTATAAAACAGTAGTCATATAATAGAACAAAAAAAAATGTGTCAGTGCCTGTTTCATTACGTTATTTCATACTGGAAATAAGGCAGATAAAAAGTTCCTGCAACAGTTGTTCCCACTCGCTCAGCTGTTTTCTGGCCCTAAATAGTTTTTGGAGAAGGACTGCATGTTTCAATGCCCTCCCCAGAGCGTCTGAGACATATTCTTTAAAGTTGAGGTCTGGAGACATGACTGACCAATCCATACAGCTAATATGTTCACCTTGCAGAAACTCGTAGACCAGATGAACACCATGTAGCCGTCCGTTGTCATCTTTTAAAATGAAATCAGACTACAAATTTTATCTCTACACATTAAACCAGTCAAAGTGCCACTCTCAAAAACATAGCCTGCTCAAAAAACCTTAAAAGTCGATTTCTCAGATATAGAAAGACAGGCATAAGCAGGGCTAAAGAGAATAGAAGGGCTGGTTCACTCCTTTGAAGTATCTCTCGCCGCGCCGATCCTCCGACGTCACTCTAGTGACGTCACTTTGGCGCAAAGCTCGCACGTTTACTTCAAGAACGGAGCGTTTGGCCTTACTAGCTCTAACTAATATTGGATCATTTCTTTTTGCGAGATATTCTAAGACATTGGTTATTTTCTATAATGACTTTCCTCAGTTTTTGCAGTGAATTTACAAGAATTTAAAACTATTATCGAAATGCCAGTTTGCGCGATTGCAACTTGCAAAAATTCTGATATA